GTGCTGTGGACCTTTTTCCAGGAAACTGTCCTATACCTAGTTTAGCTACTTGGAAGCTATCACAATGAAGATACCTAATATATAAATGTATTCTAGGATGGTAATAGCAGAAAACTACTATTTAGGAATAGTGGCTACTACTTAGGAATTTATATTTCCTAGAAAATGCTCCAAATGAAAGAAACCTAACAACGGTAGAATTCTAGATAATCTGAGTGATAAAGTTGTTTTTAGGGGAGCCCTCTTTGCAACTGTAGACTGTATCATATAGGCTCTTGCTCATACTGACTACCTATAAGGCTATCCTTGTGTCAAAAATAGTTATCAGTCACTTAATTCCCAGTTGTATGGCAGTTTATAAGTTAAAATGTTGGGAAAAGTCTGTAACAGATAATGCCATCTGACTCTTCAGTCTCTATTCATTTGCTTTCATGCTCTGTGATAGACAGTCTCTGACTATACCTGCCACTCTCCTTTTAAGAAGATATAAAATCCACAAAATGACATTTAAGATCTTAAATGTGAGTGACATAAAAATGCTAGATATTTAGATAAACTTGTAGTTCTTTAGATTTTTCTTACAAATATAAAAATTAATAGCCCAAATTGAAAAAGCATTAAAAAGCCCATGACATTGTACAAATGCAAAATGAGTGATACAGATTAATATTTGAGCCAGTATCTACCCAAGATCAAGTAACAATTCTGGTGCTAAATATACTGTTTAAACTCAATCTTCAAGGGGACAATGTGACTTTGGAACTCCTTTGGAAGGCACAGGCAATAAACTTTTTTCTAATAGACCCATACTTGTTATAAGATGACTTTGGGATATTACCAGTCACTGAAACCTTTTGTCCTCTTCTGTGATAGAAAAAAAATACTCACCTTCTGGGAATGAATTACTTAAGAATAAACAACTCGTTTATTTATAGTACTTTGAAATATTACAATTTCTGCCTTAGGATTTTTTTTTTATATTCTTGGACAAGACACAAAAATCATTTCTTTCTACTCTTCCTATTATAAGAAGACTTTAGTCAAGCTTCCCTTTAATTTTTAAAGTTATGAACAATCATGTTATGTAAGAAGCTTGAAATACACAAGCATATAAATGTATAGTCTAGAACTCTAATTAAAAATTCATTGTATCTGGTTTCTATTAGATAAAGTACACAACTTTACTGTGCTGTGCTAACCAAAGCAGTAGAGAGTGATAAGGACAGGCCCAGAGATAAACTTCATCCGGCTTTACAATTTCCCTAACGTCAGCCTGACTGTAATCCCAGCTTCTACAAGCATCCATGCATTCTGGTTTCCTAAGAACCAATAAAAAACCTTTTCGCCTATTTTGAGAATATTTCTCAGTTCTCTAAGATGTATGCTTCTTGTTATATTTACTAATTTTTTGGTGGTTTCTGATTTTCATAAAACCTTGAAAATGTTGCAATTTTTTTTTTAGTAATTTTTAAAAGGATGCTCCTTTCCTCTCTGTAGTTTTCACTTATGTTTTTCTGGTTACTTAGAGCAGGAGCTTTACAAGGTTCAACAAACTTCCTGTAATTTGGATCTGTGAGAACATTTAATCTTCTGTTATATTTAAAATATAATGAGAAGTTGATTTGATGAGGGGTGTCTTGTCTCCCATGTGAACAGGTTTAAGCACTTTTGGAGGGACTAGGATATGAATTTTATTTTTAACATTTCCTGATTACACTAGAACAATTCACAAAACATTTGACTTATTTATTAAATTATTTACTGTATTGATTATAGTAAGCATAAATATTTTTTTATATCTGGCTTACCCTTGCGATGCTTATCATCTGTTGTTCTGAGTCTCTCTGAATAATGATTTTTTTTGCAGCTATAGAAATAACGAATGGGTACTGACAGAAGGAAAACCTGCTCAACAAGTGAAAACAGAAAAAGCAAAATGGTGTATTTTTAGCAAAATTACACTAAGGGAATCTAGGTACCCCTTCTAACAATATAAAACATTACTTTTGTATTGTGTTTTACCATTTACGAAATGATTTTATGTGCACCACAGCCCTGTGAAGAATGTATCATTACTAGATGAGCAGTGCCTTCATTCTCTAAAGGAAGCTACATCTAATTTTCTGAAATGTGTGCTAATCATGTACATTTATACAAATAACTTCAGTTTATACAGTCACCTATATATGATAATCTGAAAAACACAGCCAAAACCAGAACCAGGAGGCCGAAGTGTTAATAAAGAAGGCTTAGGACAGAGACTCATATGTTCAAATTAAGATAAGAATCCATTATTATAAGAAATATAACAATAACCATACTATGCAAAAGCAAAGTAATAAATTTAAAACAAAATAAAAATTAGGAAAAGAAGTATGTTGGTAGTGGTACTGTATTTAATAGTGCAGTGATATGAAGTGGTACCTAATTGTAAAGGCATAATATTATCATCAAAATTTATGAAAATAATGTCTCTCTTGGGTCAGAGTCCTTATGTACAAAAGCCACAGACTACACAGATAGAAATCCATTTAGAAAAAAATGGGTATGGCAGCAATGATACTTTAGGATTTAGACTCCTATCAGAAGTAACTGCAATAAATCTATCAGTTATAGTTGGAAACCACCTGAGCAGAGTCAGGTACCATCTGAGCAGAGTCAGGTAGAGCATCATGATGTAATGAAGACATTATGAAGAAAAAGGAGATAGGCCTCATGTGAACTGAAAATGAGATAGCTTTCACTCTGGGACAAAGCTGTTAATACACAGGAGGAACTGTTCAGAGGTAGTACACTGCAATTTTGAATCACTAATGCCAACCAAAAATTTGGAAACAAAAGAAAATGCAATGAACTTAGCAGGATATGTGTTGGTTTTATTATGTACTTTAGAATACTGCTTCTTAACCTTTCCCTTGAAAAGAAGATACCATGTGTATGAAACACCCAGAGAAACAGATGAGACTGCTCATGGTCAGAAGCAATTTGCCCTACCTAAGATTCTAGCTCCCTCTTCTCATGTTCAGGGTGCCATCAAGAGCTGATGGATCCTATGTAATTCATTCTCAATACACTGTGCTGTGGAAGCTTTGTATTAAAGATGTCACTGAAACATGCACAACTGTGGGAGTTGTTTTATGATTATGATTGTATTAAAATGGGAGGGAAAAGTGTCTTTGCAAAATAAACTTTGCCAAGAAAACATCCATCAGACTGATCAGAATTCTCTAAACAATTTTTGTTCAGTCTTGAGTGTTCAGATGTGGACTGAGGCATCTCTGGAAGGACATTCTGTGTTTTAGGTCAATTCTGATAGCTTGGAGGGCCCTGGAAAATTAACCAATTTATGAACCAATATGGGGTTTTGAGTTTATTTATATCTAAACCATATCTCTTAGTAACTTTAAAATATGACAACCTCCTGGATATCTCATGGTTTGGGAATGTTTAGAATAGTCTTGTTGGTTTAAACCAAACTAGAACTATGAAGATAAAGTGTAGTATATTAAAAAATTTCGTCAAGTATTCCGAAAATCTACTACTGTAAGTAATTTGTGGTGAAGCCCTTTCTCTGTAATATCTATTTATTTTGTACTGTTTCTAGTGGATAGTCACTTTTCCTACAGAACGAAGGAGAAAAGGAGTGAATGTGTATGTTTATGTGTACATCTTTATGTGATCAATGTATTAGATTAGGCACTGGCAAACCATGTTCCCCAGGACAAATATGGCCTACCATCTGTTTTTGTAAACAAAGCTATATGGAATACAAATGTACTCATTCATTTATATAATCATCTAAGGCTGTTTTGGGGCTAAAATAACAAAACAATCTGTATAGCTCACAGAACTGAAGATATTTACCATTTAGTCTTTTACAGAAAAAATTTATTGATCTCTTTGCTAGATGACAGCATATAGAACAATAAGATATAAGAAACTTTTTACTAGGACAGAAATTTTCCCTTCTTGAAAAGATGCTATCAACCAAACTAAAACCAAATCAACATATATATAAAATCAAAATATAGCAGAAAAAGAAAATGTTTTAACAAATATAATGATATTTCAAGTCTGGATATCTAGATTATAGAGGTTTATATGTAAAGGTATGGTGTGTATATATCTATAACTATATACCTATATATAGATATAGATATTTTATTTATACAAACCTAAAATCCAATCATTATTTTGAATAGTATTTCATTTAGGTGAATAATTAAATGGTACCTGTGAGAGTTTCCAAAGCTCTGCCAAGTATGATATTCTTCCATGAGATCAATGTGATCCAATGTAGAATTATAGAAATCAGTATAAGGAATAAGGGGAGGGTCAACCAAATTGTTTGCAGTATCTGTAAAGATAAATTCTAACATAATGATCTTTTCCAACATGCACATAATTTCCTTTTAATAATAAAAACACCATTTTAATGTCCAGTGGCTTTCCTTGACCTAAAAACTGCTGTTTTAAACAACTGAAGTTCCAAATGAAAAAGATAATTTTAACATTGTGGTCAAAGTACAGCTAACCATTTCTGACTTTAAAAAAAAAAACTTGCTATGTGGATCATAAAAGTACTAAGAAGAACATGCAGATGGCCATTTATTCATATATTGGTGTATCAGTGAATTCTTCCTAAGGGTCCTCAGTAACTAAAGTTCATGTTTTCTTGGGAATCACACTTAGCAGATCATTTATATGCAATTAACTATATGCACTTAATACCATAATATAGAATATTGCTCAGTAAAAGGTATAAAGCTTTTTTCATGCTTGTAAATTAGTTGTGAAATCCATTATCAAAACAAAATATATTTTTTTCCTTCAAAGGAATGGTTTAAAATTTAACGTTGATTCTACAGTACTTTGAGATCCTTAAGAATGTCCCTGAGATTTAACAAAAGCAAAGAAAATGATAGAATAATAAAAACGTACTAAGTAAAGCCAACACTTTAGATGCTGATGGAATCCACCAGGAACATTTTGCTATAGGGGGAAATTCTTCAGGCTTTGCAGGAAACAGGCGTAAAGAAATAAATTGCAGCAATCTCTCTACCAATTGTTTGAACCTCTTCTGGGATAATCTGGTAAAGATTTTGAAATAATTCTAATCAAAATTCACATTTTAAATTTTGGCAATATATTTATAAGATATCAAACTATATCCTACACACATAAAATTTTAGACTAGTCTCTCAAATTCTATCTCTTAAGTTGCCAAATATTTGAAAAGATATAAAATCTTACCTTGAATACTGTTTCTTAATTAAGAAATAAATACCAAAATTATTATAAGGTTAATAATTAAATTTTTAAGACTTTGAATATTTGCTCAATCTTCATTATTCACAGAATTTATACATGCAAATTTGCCTTCTTGCTAATATTTAATTGCAACCCCAAAATCAATACTTGTGCTTTGTGAACATGCAAGAAATGGTGAAAATTTTGAGTTGACATGCACATTCCCAGCTGAGGTCAAATAAAGTTATACTCTGCTTTCTTATTTTAGCTCTCAGAGTGTAAACAAATGTCCTCTACATGTTTTTCATATTTTTGTGTGATTTTGGTGAGGATGCTATTTCAAATGGCCCTTAAGCATAGTGACGAATTGCTATCCAGTGTTCTTATGAACAAGAAGGATGTGATGTGCCTTATGGAGAAAATATGTATTAGACAAGTTTCAAACAGGCACAATCATACTGCTGGCCAAGAGTTCAATGTTAATGAATCAACAACTTAAGTGTCTTTAAAGTAGAACATTCATAAAGCAAAGTTGTGCACTGACTGATTGACAAAAATACAATTAGAAAGTCCCAGGAACCTAACCCTGTATTTTCCTAAGAAGCATTGTCTCAGTCAGTATTTTTTAATTCAGTGTTTATGATGACTTTGTAGAATATTGTGAATAATAAGAACTGACTGAATAATAAGAACTGGAAATATTTTGCCTTTTAAGCTTTGACCTACCATAGAAAAAAGTCTTTGTTAATATAGATACAGATCTGTGAAAAAAGAGTATAGTGCTTTTACAACTTGATACTGATGGCTAACCTACACATCAATAATGATGTTTTTAGCTGAGGAGGAAGCACCATTTAAATAATGATGAAATTTTTTTATAAATCAATCATATAGGAAATAAAAAGAACATACATTAAAATGTAAGATCTGAGCAAACCCAGTCACCATCTTTGAGATACATGAAAAACTAATGATATGAATGTGCTATATAAAAATTGAAAACAGTGGATGGAAATTCTCAACAGCTTACACAAGCAAAATGGTTAGTTACACTAAAAACACTTATGCTTATCACTTTTATAGTACTATATATATTTTTATAATTGACTTTTTAGCATTATTAATTATAAAAGCATAATTTCTAAAGACCTAAAGCCATTCAAATATATTTTACTACAAAATTATTACTATCAAATTTAAAACTGTGAGATTACAAAAGTTCTCAATATTATAGAATGATTTACTTTTTAAACCAGTGAACTAGGAAATGATGGTCAGCTTCCACTAAGGTAGCTGTCTGTCGTAGCAAGTGAGCATAGATGACATACGTAGATGTGTTATTAAATTGAGGATTCTGAAAAAGATATTAAAAATAATTGTATTAAAATTTTGTTAAGTCAAAGGAAACACACTAAATGAGTTAAGTGAAAAATTCAGGAAACTAAATTTGAGATTATAAAATAGTTTAAAACAATAATATATCTGTTATTTAATTATAAATAGAGATTGATTTAGGCTGTGGTACAGTGAAAACAGCATGAACTGTGGAGTTAAGACAGATCCAAGTCTGAGGCCAATTCTACTACTTACTAACAGTTTTCCTTTAGGCATATTCCTTAAACTTTGTCAATTTCCTCATCTGTAAAATGGGAATAATTGTATCTAAAGAGTTGTTGTATTTAAAAAGGAAAGTGTATATAAAACATCTAGCTCAATGCCTTCATAAAAGTTGGCAATCACTATTACCCAATTAAACAAAATATTCAGCTTTTCTTTGATTTTAAAAATACTAAAAAAGTGAAAAGCTAGTTGGGAAATTTTTGCCACTGTGAGAGTCAGCTGCATATCTCACAAAGAATAAGAGGAGAATCTCATAATTGCATCTAACAACTTTTAAATGTGAAAGGGAGACTAAAGGAGTGCTAAGCAAAACCTCCACTTATGTCCTCAAAATGTAAAACTTTACCACAATGCACATTTCATCATTTCATGTGAAAAGTGAACATAATGGAAAAATGAACTGAAATTGTGAAAAATAAGAAAGTATCATGTGGTTTTCAAAACTGATTTACTGGCAGGACAATTCAAAATTAGGGAATGACCCTACTTGATAACTTCATGAAGTGATGGCTCCAGAGAAGAACATCATGAACAGAGTTTATAGCACTCTCTTCTTAACTACCTCTTAGCCATTTTTTCTCCCTTTCCACTTTCTCTTTTTTGCTCTGTCTCCCTTTCTCTTTTTTTCCTTTTATTGGGCATAATATTGATTTTATAGCATTGCATTATTGAAATAAGCACTATATCTTATTTAATATATTTTTACCTTTAAACAAATTAATATACATGAACAATTTTTATGAACTGTAAAGAATAAAATGAGTATAGTATGCCGCTAAGATAACATTTTAGAGCTCATTAAAGTTAATTGGAAGAAAGATGATTTGAAAGGAGAAGGAAGAAGCACTGCCATTGTACTGCCCGAATACTATGGCAGCTAAGGTGAGAATTTTAATCCTCCATAATTTAGCTTCTGAATGTTTGTTTGTTACAACATTGGTTACAAGTCATTATAACTCTAAAAAGTATCAGTAACATTGACCAAAATGATACTTACCATTTGATATAATTTCACTTACATATGTACATATTGAGATCTGAAATAGACAATTTTCACTAAATTCCTTCTCTCTTACCTGTAAAAGGATGAAATATGCTCTAAGATCATCTTTTGTTCGTGGGCTGAAACAGAAACAAACATAATTGATTATAATGAATGTTTTAATCTCATGGTATCTAACTAAAAGTGACCAATAAATATTCCTGTAAGAATTGAGAAAAGCAAAAAACAAAACAAAACAAAAACCTTAAGTGAACATAACATTATTATTACTGACAGGAACATATCTCTAATATGCTGGAATATAAATTACTCTATGTCTATCCTAGGCTGGTTCTGAAGATATCTAAAGACTAAGTTAACTAAGACAGCAATAATATTTTGTAAGATTAAAAAATCATGACTGGGCTGGGGATGTGGCTCAAGCGGTAGCACGCTCGCCTGGCATGCATGCGGCCCGGGTTCGATCCTCAGCACCACATATAAACAAAGATGTTGTGTCCGCCGAAAATTAAAAAAAATATATTAAAAAATTCTCTCTCTCTCTCTTTAAAAAAATAAAAAAACATGACTATCTCTGGAAATAGTTAAGTATCTAATAATAATCTTCAATTTTACATTCTTGTGTTTTTGTTTTAATAAGGGATAATCTTTACTTATTAGTTATTCATTAAAGAATATATGTCTGTGTTTATAGGTTCATTTCTGAAGTGACAGAAATGTCTGCAAATCAAATCATACTCTGAATGCACCTAGAATAGTTTAATCAAAAGAATCGTATTTTGGATATCTCTGAAAAGAGAGTAATTTAAATTGTTTTTCCATGTTAATCTGAATTTTCACAGCATCAGATTTCACTGACAACTTTTGTTATTCCGTAAGCTAGTGTTACTCAATTGCTCAAGACATATTTGATACTCACACAGATAACCAGAAGTAACTTTCTGAATTAAATATATTTAACCTATATGACAACAAGATTCAATTCAAGATTCTTCATGGGATCCTGGATGAAAAAACTCAGATACTAAAGCATTTATTATTCTCAAGGTTGATGAATGCTTCTTTCTCATCCACTCAATCTATTTCTAATCTATCACCTTTAATTCCAAGTCATTGCCTGGTCTACCTAGGACTTTATATGTCTGGCAATGTCATTCATACCCATATGAATTATCAGGTACATATAACAAGTAGTATGAGTAGGTTTGATTCCTTACAATGTTTTTGATATTTTTATTAAAATAATCAAAATAGCTGGCTCCCAGTTTAGCCTCATCTTTTTT